AGAGACCCAAAAGAGGCTTTTGAGCCCATCCCATCATGGGAGAAATCTCTTGAAGCAAATGCCAACATATGGTGCCACCCTGATTGTTGGCATATGAGACAGCTATCCTATTGTCCATATTCAATTTTACTTAATGTCCTAGGAACTTTTATTGAAAATTAAGAAGCAGTAACGCTGCCATTAGTTCCGGATTATTTGGTGGAACAAAGGAATATTGTGTGCCACAACCTCTATTGCTGGCATCTGTGATAACTACCAGCCAAGTCACATCTTTAAGAGAAAACCTGTGTAAGAAGTTCTGTTCTTCTGACTACCAGAGAAGGGCCTGTCTCATCCTGAATGAAATAGAAGTAGAAGTATTCTGTAGATTTATGGATGCTAATCAGTCTTGATGGACACCAGCCACAATAGAAGTCAGAGATACCATGCAAAACCTTTTGACAGGCACGTTTTTGTTCAGAGAATGCAATTCTAAAATGAGTCTTTAGTCTCCTGATGGTTTTGGAACTAGATACAGAAGGGAATAAATCCTTTCAAGAAATCTTTCTTCAATAGGTATTCTCATGATAATACCTGCTGAAACGAGTTTGTTGTTGTCTCTTAACAATGCTTTTTTATTTGACAATGTTTTTGGTGTTTTTGATTTTACCAAGTGATTTCCTTGTGGAAGACTTAGACATTTTGAGCCTGTATCCCTCTTATAAAATGGACATAACACAGCCATCCATATTTATCTTTGTCCATCAGAATTTGTGGAGACGACCACCTATTACCTGGACTTGGGTTTCAGAATCTTTAGAATGTTCTATCTGATCCCTTAAAAGCACCTGAGGATTTTTAGATATTTCCTCTGAATAGTTGACATCCCTTTCAATTGCAACACCTATTGTATTCTTTGCCAGGTCTATATCCACTAAAGTCCAGAAAGGAACTTTTGTCTCAAAAGAAACTTAGATTATTCTATAAATGAGAACCTTTATGTTTCCTTCTGCCATATGGAAGAAAGGCTTTCTTCTGCTGCCTTTTTAATGTCATCATCCAAGGCCTTTCCAAAAAGGATATCATCTTACAATGGCAGACCACATAAATTATTCTTAAGTCAAAGTGCTGTGCGGGCAGCCATTGAAAGGACAATATTGCTGGCCAAAAGCCTTACCAGGTCCAAGAAAGCCCCCGAAAAAGTTTATAGCCTATTTAACCGCAGTAAGGTTGTCCAAAAGAGAGGATCTTCATACACCTCTATTAATATCTTCCTCAAGAAGAGAAACCCACTTAATAAGGGCCTTAGAAACAGCGGTCATAGCTACCGCTGGTCTGCAAGCTGTATCTACAACATAGTTTTTAGACAGACAAATGTCAACACCTGTGTTCCTGGAATCCCTAAAGGATCCAGCATCAAATACAGAAATATGGATAGTTAAGAACAAGCCAAGATCAGAATACCAGAATAAAAAAAAGAATGCGCTCTCGGATAACCAAACTAATGGAAAGTGGTTTGGGTTTAAATTACACTAAAACTCTGCTCACTGGTTCAAATGAGTCTTATGTCCCCAGAATGTGAATGTGCATCGAAAACGTGGTGATACATGCATGTTCACATCATAATTGACTTTTACAGGGGTGGCACTATAAACTAGCATGGTACTGCAGCAGCTGGCATCCTTCATGACACTGCACAAGGTTGCTGCAGCAGGGCAGCTTAGAGGAAGAGGCACTGAGAACCAGGTGAGTAGCCTTGCCTTCTGGCAGCGCGATGGCAGTGATCTGGTACAGTTACATGGTGGTGCCGATCGGGCACCATGACATGGTGGTGCCAATAGGGCTCTGTGACATGGAGGTGCCAATCAGGCACCGTGACAGTACACCCCCACTCGAAGACCACCCACCAGGCAGGCAGGACTAAGTTTAACATGGAAGGAGTGGAGAAAATGGCCAGTGTGAATGTCCGTAGCAGAAACCCAGGAACGTTCCTCAGGACCATGGTCTTCTAGTCAGCCAAATACTGCAAAGAACCATGAGAAAACCTAGAATCTAAAATAGAATGAATTACATATTGCTCCTGATCCTCAACCACCAACGGAGGTTGAGAAACAGAATGTGTAGTGTATCTATTGCAGAAGAGAGGATTGAGCAGAGATACATGGAAAGTACAAGGTTTGCGTAGATTAGCAGGGAGATCAAGGGAATAGGAAAATGGATTTCCATTATTTTGCTCTCCAGTGCAGACAGGGTATAAACTCTTCCCTTAGGAGGCATTGTACCCAGCAATAGATCTATAGAGCAATCATACAATCTATGTGGAGGTAGAGTATCCGTGTTTAGCTTATTGAACACCACCTTAACTTCCATGTATTGGAGGGGAACTTTCGTAGAAAGCGGAGAGGCAGAAGGCACGTTGATGGTGCCCACTTGTTTGGTAACTGGTACAAGGCATATATTTCTACAATTCTCACCCCAAACCAGTATCTCCCCTTTCCTCAGATCTACACAAGGATTATGCTTGACTTACCATGGGAACCCAAGCACAATTGGACATGAAGACAAGGAAATAACCTACAATGAAAAAGTGAAGGTCTCATGAGTGATAAGAGGTTTCTTTAGAGATCTAGCATTTATGGCCTCAGTTGTCAAACGTGTTGACCTCTCCTTTAGAGGAATAGCATGTACAGACACAAAGTTTGCATCAACAAAGTTCTCTGTGGCTCCTGAATCTGTTAGAACATCGTAAGAAACCTCTACATTGTTAGACCGAATTTAAACAGAAAGCAGAAACCTGTTAAGAGGCATAACAGGGGACATATGGATTATACCTAAGTACATTCCCTTTACGTTCCTTAAGTGTCCGAGGTTTCCGGGCATACTGGACAGTTGTTTCTCATATGACCCTTCTTGCCGCAATGCCTACAGAGACCCTCACTTCTCCTAAACTGTCTTTCTGCCTCAGATATTCTCATGGGTTCTGGTTCTGCTAACACATGAGGATTTTTAAGAACAGGGTAGAGAAACGGGTTGCAAGAGGTGTGACAGTACATCTTGCCTTATGTCTAATTTTGTCTCTCTCTTACTCTATTGTTGATATGCACCATATAAGTGACGTATCACTTAGTTTCTCTGGTAAATCTCTGGCAGCCTTCTTATCAAGTATAGCATTGGACAATCCCTCTGAGAAGGCAGTAACCAGGGAACAGTTTGTTCAATCTACCTCTGATATGAGAGTACATAACTCTATAGCGGAAACAGCTACTGTATGACTGCTCTGCTTTATACGCATCAGTGTCTTAGCAGCATTCTTCTCCTTCCCTATTGGTCTGAATGTCAGTTTATATTCAGCAAGGAATTCAGCATAGTTATAAATGATGACATGTATAGATGATGGAAGTGCACTCAATTCTTCGTCTGGAATTCAGGGTGCTCAACTGGATAAACATTTTTTAGGGGAGACCCCCCCATACAGGCAAATATCAAGCAGTGAAACGTCAGAAGAATCAGAAGGTGTGGCCACAAGAAGTCAGACATTACCAGGAATTTGGAAATACATGGGTCCTCAGAAGAGGAAGAAGATTCAGTAATTATTAATTTATCTTCATCTAATTTGTCGGAAATTGAGATTTCTATTCTGAAAAAAGGTTTGACTTTTTGTCCTACATATAAGCCTAGGCCAATTGATATTGTTGTTGATTTGTGTTGTTTTTTTCGTAATATTAGACTTAAGGTCTTTTTTTCTAAAACTGTTTATTCAAGTTTGCCAATAGATACAATTAGTACTGATTTAAAATTAGGTGACACTAAACTTAAAAATACAAGTACATTTAATCCACAGATCAATGATCATGCTGTAGAAGCATTTGTGGAAATGGTTAAAAAAGATGTTGATAATCTTGTCCAACATAAACAAAATAAAAATTACTTTTATAACAATTTAACTAAGACACAACTAAAAGCCCTTACAATACTTAAAAAAAAAAAAATCTAAATTTTATAATAAAACCAGCGGACAAGGGCGGACCAATTGTGGTGTTGGATAGGATTAACTACGTCAAAGAGATAGAAAGACAATTGGGTGATAGTGAAACAAATAAAAAAACTTCAATTGATCCTGCATTATTGTTAAAAAGAAAAATTGATTTGATTTTGAAATCAGCATTTGATGACTTGGTAATTGATAAACAGTTATTCAAATATCTTACTGTTACTTCTCCTGTGGTTCCTACACTGTATATTTTACCTAAAATTCACAAGTCCCTGATTAATCCCCCCTGGGAGGCCGATAGTGGTGGGTATAGGGTCTCTCCTGTCCCCCCTTGCAAAATTTCTAGATCAGGTGACCCTTTCTAAATCAAATAAAATCTTATGTAAAAGACACTATTGAGGTACTTGAGATGGTTAAAATGATTGAAAATGTACAGAATATAATATTGGCGACGTTTGACGTCAATTCTTTATATACTTCCATTCCCCATAATGAAGGTATGGTGGCGATGAGAGAGGCTCTTGAACTGTTGGGTTTTGAGGACTCCTCTTTATCATTTGTAGTACAATTGTTAAAGTTAGTGAGGACTGAGAATTACTTTTCGATTAGAGATTAATTCTTTATTCAAACCAAGGGCACTTTAATGGGTTCCAATGTGGCCCCCACATATGCCGGCATCTATATGGCCAAATTAGAAGAAAACGTTATATACAAAAATAAATTATTTAAAAAGTATATTGTAAATTGGTGGCGGTATATTGATGATGTGCTGGCACTGTGGTGTGGCCCATTGGAACCCCTGGAAGATTTTTTTCAATTTCTTAACAACTGCTCTAACTCTATTAAATTTACTATGGAAATGGATCAGTGTTCCATTGCCTTCTTGGATATTTAAATTTCTAAAAATAATGACAAATTTGAGACAAATCTCTATAGGAAACCATTAGATAGGAACACGCTATTGCACTATGATAGTTTTCACCCGATTTCAATGTTCAAATCCATAACCAGGAGTCAATTTATGAGGATTAAAAGATTGGTTTGTAGAACAGAGGTGGTAGACCAACAGTTAAATATATCCTATATCCATTTTACAAACCCAATTGGAATATGTGAAGAACAGGGAAGAAACATGTGATATAAATGTACCTAAGCAAGTCAAAATAGAAGATAGAATCAAGTTTATTTCAAGATATAGTACACTATCTTCTGATTTAAAACATACTATAGACAGACATTGGCATATATTATCTAAGTGTCATCCTAATATTGTGGAATTTGAAAACAAACCCCTTACGGTTCATAAACGTGCTCCTGCGTTAAGGGATAGGCTGGTAAAAGCCGAACTATCTTCTACATTAAAATTAAACCCAAAAAGAAATGGGAATTTTCCATGTCACAATTGTATCTGTTGCAATTCGATGATTAAAAGCCCGACATTTGCTCATCCTCACAGGGGTAATAAATACGTGATTAGACAATTTGTCACATGTGATACTACACATGTTGTTTATATTTTAAAATGCCCTTGTGGTTTGATCTATGTAGGTCAAACTACACAAAAAATGAGAGAGATTCTCAAAACATAAGTCCACAATAAGAACAAAAATGCTCGATTTGCCCATTCCTATGCATTTTATAGAAGCAAAATATAACTCAGCTTAAATTTCAAATCATTGAACATGTGGAAGAAAGTTTTAGACGGGGGATCGATTAAAAAGATGATTATTTAGAGAAGCATTTTGGATTAGAGAATTAGAATCCCTAACACCTAGGGGATTAAACCAAGAATATGACTTCAATACGTTTATTTAAGTCATCATTTTTTCATATTGTTTTTTATAGTTTTATTTTTTATCTTTTCACAGATGACTTTCACAGACTATTACTTTCTGTGAAGGCAGTGCTGGTTATCACCTTATTGAGCACATCTTTTAATATTGTCTCTCTTATTCATTATGGTATTTCAATTACATATTAATTGTTTAAGTGATTGATGATAGGTTAATGTAAAATACTTTGCCTTACTTTTTGGCAAAGAGAAAATGTAATGGCTCATTTATTGGCTTATAGTGACTTTGATCTATATTATTTAATTAGTCATTATCTAGATATATTGTATCATTTGCAACATGATCTATTTAATGGATCGATCTATTAGCAAATTTCTTCTGTATATTAAAATACAATCAATTAAGTAGTCTTAACACACATTTTAATATCTAATCTATGTGTGTTTTTTATACTGAGGTTGTTGGTTGAGTAAAAAATAGTTTATTTAATATATGGTTAATATTTTCAGATATGTCCACATAATAGATTATATACCATATTAATCCTTTACATCAATTGTTTACATTTAATTAGATTACTGAGTAAAGGACAATATACGTAATATATGGTTAATATTTTCAGATATATCCATATAATAGACTATGTGCCATATTAATCCTTAACATCAATTTTGCATGTTCAATTTTATTCTATTCAATTAGATTGTTGTAAATGACACTATTATTATACATGTATTCAGACACGTTTGACTATTGTAGTGGCTGCACATATTTAGCGATTTCTTGCTATTTATATTACTTATGAATCACTAGTTTCTTGATACAACATAAATTTTATAGCACTATACATTATGGCATTTATTGTCACACTCTACATGTTTTCATTACAGTATTTGATATATTATATTTTTATTTATTTTGAGTGTATATATATATATAGTTGCAAGAAAAAGTATGTGAACCCTTTGGAGTGATATGGATTTCTGCACAAATTGGTCATAAAATGTGATCTGATCATCATCTAAGTCACAACAATAGACAATCACAGTCTGCTTAAACTAATAACACACAAAGAATGAAATGTTGCCATGTTTTTATTGAACACACCATGTAAACATTCACAGTGCAGGTGGGAAAAGTATGTGCACCCCTAGACTAATGACATCTCCAAGAGCTAATTGGAGTGAGATGTCAGCCAACTGGAGTCCAATCAATGAGATGAGATTGGAGGTGTTGGTTAGAGCTGCCCTATACAAAACACACACCAGTTCTGGGTTTGCTTTTCACAAGAAGCATTGCCTGATGTGAATGATGCCTCGCACATAAGAGCTCTCAGAAGACCTACGATTAAGAATTGTTGACTTGCATAAAGCTGAAAAGGGTTATAAAAGTATCTCCAAAAGCCTTGCTGTTCATCAGTCCACAGTAAGACAAATTGTCTATAAATGGAGAAAGTTCAGCACTGCTGTTACTCTCCCTAGGAGTGGCCGTCCTGTAAAGATGACTGCAAGAGCACAGCGCAGACTTCTCAATGAGGTGAAGAAGAATCCTAGAGTGTCAGCTAAAGACTTACAAAAGTCACTGGCAAATGCTAACATCCCTGTTAGCAAATCTACAATACGTAAAACACTAAACAAGAATGGATTTCATGGGAGGATACCACAGAGGAAGCCACTGCTGTCCAAACAAAACATTGCTGCACGTTTACAGTTTGCACAAGAGCACCTGGATGTTCCATAGCAGTACTGGCAAAATATTCTGTGGACAGATGAAACCAAAGTTGAGTTGTTTGGAAGAAACACACAACACCATGTGTGGCGAAAAAAAGGCACAGCACACCAACATCAAAACCTCATCCCAACTGTGAAGTATGGTGGTGGGGGCATCATGGTTTGGGGCTGCTTTGCTGCGTCAGGGCCTGGACGGATTGCTATCATCGAAGGAAAATGAATTCCCAAGTTTATCAAGACATTTTGCAGGAGAACTTAAGGCCATCTGTCTACCAGCTGAAGCTCAACAGAAGATGGGTGTTGCAACAGGACAATGACCCAAAGCATAGAAGTAAATCAACAACAGAATGGCTTAAACAGAAGAAAATACGCATTTTAAAGTGGCCCAGTCAGAGTCCTGACCTCAACCCGATTGAGATGCTGTGGCATGACCTCAAGAAAGCGACTCCTGACCATTGTGCATATCTGATTTGCAACTACAGGAAACGTTTGGTTGAAGTTATTGCTGCCAAAGGAGGTTCAACCAGTTATTAAATCCAAGGGTTCACATACTTTTTTCACCTACACTGTGAATGTTTACATGGTGTGTTCAATAAAAACATGGCAACATTTCATTCTTTGTGTGTTATTAGTTTAAGCAGACTGTGATTGTCTATTGTTGTGACTTAGATGATGATCAGATCACATTTTATGACCAATTTGTGCAGAAATCCATATCATTCCAAAGGGTTCACATACTTTTTTTTGCAACTGTATATGTTTTTTTCCACTTATTTGCACTTAAAAATATAAAAAATAATAATAAAATAATGAGTAAGATAAACACTTGTTAATTATGTAATTGATGATTGGAACTGGCTATGCTACTTGTGAATTATATTGTATTATATTATGAAGTCATTATATGTAATTATTCATTATGAACATTATGTGTTGTTATAATTCACTGTTTAGGCTGTTAGATTAAAACCAGGTTTGCAATCAGCCTGATTGTAAAGGATCTCTATTCAATAACAAAAATTACATTTTAATTTGAAGTACTTCATTATCTGTAGTTTCAATTTATACCACATCAAAATATATCTTAGTTCTATTTTGATGTGGTGTTTCATCTCGAAATGTTGCGCCTGCGCATTATTGATATTTTTTTTCCTTCTTAGTTTTTCGGCGCTTGCTTTAGTATATGTGCTATATTTCATTACAGTGCGCATGTGCAGTGTTTCGTTGCCGCGCATGCGTAATGCGCTTCATTGGATTTGTGCGCGTGCGCTGTGTCACATTGTTGTGATAGGTTGGGGTTAGATCATGTGATAGACGGCATCGGACGTGCCCTCGTGATCATACCCGGAAGTGTGAGTACTCAGCTCGGATGTAGACTCCTTTTCTTTATTTCATTAGAGGAAGTTTGAAATTAATGTTTTGCAATTAATCAATTATTTAATAAGTTGAGATCCTATTGGCTGTATTGCCCTGTTTTTTTCTGACATCCTGGATACTTGAGATTGTGATTGGAGAGACAATTATATGTTTTTATTATGTAATGATTATGTTACTAATTAATTTTAATTTGGCTACATGTTTTTTCACTAATTAATTGTTGCATACACCTATATATTGTCTGTGTGATATGTGCTTTATCAGCTTGACAAAGGCCCTTAGGGGTCGAAACGTTGCTGTTTGGTTCCTTGTTCCAATAAAGATAGCCTATATTTTGAAATTCGTTGGAGTGCCCGGATTATTTTCTATAGTTTTAAATGATGGACTTATTGCTCTCCCATAATGTATTGGTCTAAGCAAGCACCTCTCCTGCCAACATTACATCAGGTACCCTATCTTAGATCTGTCAGAACTGAAGGAGCCAGGAGAAGTGGTATTCTATCTAGTTTATAAACCCACAGCATTCCTTTGCATCACCTCCAAAATGAGGGGGTGGTGATAGAGAAATAGAAGGCGTCTTAGAACCTATAGGACTAACAGGCTCAGACGGAACTAACTGTGGATCTTCAGGTTGAAGATGAGCAGTACGGAGCAATAAAGTTTGAAAAGCCTGAGCAAATTGATGTCTCTCGTTGGTTAGCATGTGTTGACCTAATTCTGAAGGCTCCATAGCCCTGTCATAATGTCAGGATAAGGCTGTGGCTCAACATGCAGAACGAAGTTAAACACATAGAATAGACTAAAATATATGAACGTATAACTGGGTGTTAGAATGGCCGGAAAGTCAGTAACAAAGCCGAAGTTATGGACACATACAGAATCATAAACAAGTAGACTAAGCCAAAAGGTCAGGGATACCAGAAATATGGATAGTCAGAAGCAAGCCAAGATCAGAATAAACAAACAAAACATGCTCTCTGATAACCAAACTAGTGGAAACCACGACAGGGCACTGAAAACAAGCAAGTTTGTTAAAGGAACACTATAGTCACCTAAATTACTTTAGCTAAATAAAGCAGCCTTAGTGTATAGATCATTCCCCTGCAGTGAGCATAGAGTATAAAGGCCCTTATATGTTGGTAGGGAATCAGGTGGTTTTTAAACCTCTTGACATGAATCAAATGTGCACCTGGGCAAAGGGTTGCCCAGACCCAGCTAAAAAGCCAGCCATTGCATATCTTAGGAGGGCAACTGCAGGATATTTCCTGTTCCTTCAGACTATACTATGATGCAGAACATGATTGTTGGGACAGATGACAAGGATGTGAACTGTCTTTACCTGCTCCCCTCCAATGTCTCTTGGATTCCTTGGTAACATTTATC